AAGGAAAAGACTCCCTTTAAACGTGGTTGCCAAGAATTAACCTTTTGCTGAGGATGCTGTTACATTATGCAGGGCAACTGTTTCAATGAATTTCTGTAATACTGTACTTGTATATCTCTATATTTGGTGTAATTATGTTTATGCTTACCTTCATGTGCCACATTTTGCAGTTCTTGTAGGTATTGTAGTTGTGCATGGGTAAAAATTCAATGCGCATGCGTGGGGATATACCGTATATCTAATTGTCCGCCCTAACCCACGTGTATAGTATGAAATTTCGAAGTGGCATTTTGGAACATCGAGTGAGGGTGGTATGGGCAGAAACAGTCGCGTTGGCTACGTCGCTGACAGAAAGCTGATCCCCAGAATAAAGGAGGTAGGCACGGGTCTAGTCGCATCCCAGAGCATCGTAGTTCGGAAACCGATCTCTCCTATCTGGATGTGCAGAACTCTTCAATGATTATGTCTTGTTAATCGGTTAGGAGAGCAAGGTTTTATATAACAGTTCGGATTTTTGCAGTACATTGCGGAGAACAACGGCGTGTGGCTGGAGGCGGACGAAGTGGCAACTGCACTGCAAGCGGAGTACAGGTAACGGTGTAGTTGGGTTGAAATATCAATGAATGGGGTTTTGTGTTTTAGTGAATACGGCAGGAAGAACAAGGCAGCCTTTCGAAGCAGCGTGGCAAAAGGTGAGTCTGTAGAGAAACACTGTTTTGTTTTATCGCAATGTATGTGTGTGTGTGTCGGTGCTTTGCTATTAGTCACGCTGGCTATATTAGTCAAACTACATGTACTTCGTAGTAGACACTTTCGAACAAATATTGCGGCGCTAGTTCAGAAGCTCCAGAAACCTTTGATTTGTAACTCTCAGGTGTATTCTAAGGTACGTGAAAGTTGCAAAATATTGGTGTTCGTGTGTGTCCAATTCAGCGCTGAAGCTGTTGAAGAAAGGTAGTGGGTGTGGTCGAAGCGAGGCAGGAGTGAGGTGGGAGAGAGAAGAGGGAAATCTACAGGCATTGGAGAGTCACCACGTGGAGAAGAGGCGGAGGAAGGAGGGAGAGGGAGCTGGTGAAGAGATGGAAGAAGGGTAAGATGGCAACACGTGTAAAAAGCGAAGGACACCCCTGAAATGAGGACATCTGTCTTTTTGCGACACTTTTATTCCCCGATAGCAGTTATTTGTCCCATTTTGTGGTTGTATATAATCAGTGGTTGCAAATCTTTCAGAGGGTGCAACGAGAGATTGGTGTTAAGAAATTGGATCGGGGTCATTTTGTCTTACGTTACAGGGTGCCAGATGAGCCAGTGGGTGGTGTTTGGTCGGAAGAGGAGGGGGAGGAGGAAGAGGGGGGAGAAGAGGTGAATATGCTAAATGACTCCCTCCTACAAGTCTATCGCCGTGACGACAGCACAAGGTCGCCACACACTCTGACCTCTGGTGGAACGAACTCAGCCCCTTCAACCCCGGAACAGAAAGTTGGATCCGACCTCCTTTCTGTGGGGTCGGGTACGGGGGATTCCCCTGTAATCATCAGCTGGGATGACAGCGGTGTTGAAGGTAGTCTGATGATGTCACAGGGAGAAACAAAGGATGCAAGGGAAACCCCCATGGCGGTGGTGGGGTCAGAGGGCAACACCACTGACTTGAGTAATGTAATGCATCATGTGACATCTGGTGACGGTCATGTGACAAGTGTGCAGCAGCAACTGGACAGAGGGGGTGTGGCAGGGAGGGAGGGTGCGGCCGAGTGTGAGTGTAAGCTGAAGAAAGTGACCTTTGCACCTGACGTCGTGGACAAACAGACCACATCCATATTGAAAGTTTGTCGCTACTTATAATGCCCCAGTGTCCAGTTCCATTTTAATTCCATGATAATTAGGGGATTGGTGTGGATGATTACGTTTGCCTCTGCAACATGTTGTGTTTAGAGTCCAGGTGTTCCCAGGAAGAGACGTCACAAGTTGGCGGAGGAGGGGGAGGGGGAGGAGGGGTCGGCTGGTCAGAAGAAAACACCGTTCCCACCGCAGCAGGAGCGGCAAGTCGGAGAAGAACGTGGGGCGAAAGGAGGGAGAGGTGGAAACAAACTCTGCAGTCAAGAGAGCTCTGAGGGAGAGGCACTCAAAATCTCGTACGTTTTAGGTTAAAATGTGGAGTGTGTATGTATGACATACAGATTGAACAAAAGTAAATTAAAAATCAATGATTTCCAGCTACAGTGGAAAACTAGCTGTTGTATTTGGGATTTCTGTTTTAGAGTTTCAAGTTGAGCGATCTTCGGTGACGTTTGCCGACGTCGGTGGCTGTCAGACGGCAATAGAGGTGTGTCATTACGTCATCATGATGTCATCGATCTCATCTCTGTGTTCGGTTCTCTGCCCCCAGGAGGTCCAGAGACTTCTCCTCCACATGAGGCACCCGGCGGTGTTTTCTCGTCTCGGGATCCGCCCCCCACAGGGGGTTCTCCTCCACGGTCCCCCAGGCTGTGGAAAGACATTGCTAGCCTCTGCCATTGCTGGGGTTAGCCCACTCCATCTCTCTGGGGAGCTCTGCTCAACTTTTCCCCACTGTTCGTATATTCATATGTCACTTTTGTTCGGGTCTTTTACTTTTCTCTCCATGTTATTCCGGTTTCTCCTTCTCTATGTACACACACTCGTGCGTGAAATAAATTTCCTGTTGAGTATGCTTTAAATACGTGGATAAGCTATTGGGGCCCTTTGCACAGTGTCCTCTTGTTTGAAATACTACTCTGCAAGGTTCCTTGAGCTTAAAATTCGTAATCTTTCGCGGACTCGCTGTCTTAATTATCTGCTAGTTCCTCCCCCCCCTCTAATTTGCACCCACATCACTATTCCTCCTCCTCCACCACTCAGGAAATGAGTCTTCCTCTCATTCGACTGGCTGCCACGGAGATAGTGAGTGGAGTCTCAGGGGAATCAGAGGGCTCTCTCAGACACCTGTTCTCACTGGCCAAGGTGGTCATGTGACTCATCACGTGACTGTCACCTGACCTGTCATGTGACCCCTGCAGGGTAGCGTTCCGTGTGTCCTGTTCATAGACGAGGTGGACGTCATTTGTCTCAAGAGAGAAACGGCTCAGAGGGAAATGGAGAAGAGGATCGTTTCTCAACTGTTGGCCTGTGTTGACGGTACGCTCCCTTCTTCTCTCCCCCTTCTTCCTTCCTCCCCCTCCCCTTCTCCCTTCTCCTTTCCCCCTTCTTCCTTCCTCCCCCTCCCCCTTCTCCCTTCGCCCTTCTCCCTTCTCCCTCCCTCTTTCTCCGCAAATTACCCCATCTCCCTTCTCAACCCTTTAACCCCATTATTCTTGTCTCCACACCACACCCACTCGTCACGTACTGATTGACACGTTCTCTCGGCCCAGATCGCAGAATGGTCATTTAACATCACAGTCATCCTTAAAATCTCGATATCGCGAGATCCCCAGTGAGATGGAGAACTGGGGGCAATGCATCTTGCGCTCAGGACCTAGTATGCATTATAGTCCCACTGCGGTGCAGATCATTAGGAAGTTACCGGAAGCTTCTTCCCCCTGTGGGTGGAGCAGTGGGTACAAGACAATTCACCCTCCTATTCCCACCCTCCCCTTCTCTCCTTGCCCTGTTTACTTGTCTTCATCCTGTCACCACTTCCTCAATCTACAACCTTATTCACAATGACATCACCTCACGAGTGGGAGGAGGGGCTGATAAAAAGTTGCAGTAAACAAGTGATTTGGTCGTCTTTTCTGTTACATGCTGGTTCCCCAGGCTTGTCAGGGGTCTCATGTTGGGTCATTGGGTCCCCCTCCCCCTTCTCTCTTCTCCCTTCTTGTCAGGGGTCTCATGTTGGGTCATTGGGTCCCCCTCCCCCTTCTCCCTTCTCCCTTCTTGTCAGGGGTCTCATGTTGGGTCATTGGGTCCCCCTCCCCCTTCTCTCTTCTCCCTTCTTGTCAGGGGTCTCATGTTGGGTCATTGGGTCCCCCTCCCCCCTTCTCCCTTCTCCCTTCTTGTCAGGGGTCTCATGTTGGGTCATTGGGTCCCCCTCCCCCTTCTCTCTTCTCCCTTCTTGTCAGGGGTCTCATGTTGGGTCATTGGGTCCCCCTCCCCCTTCTCTCTTCTCCCTTCTTGTCAGGGGTCTCATGTTGGGTCATTGGGTCCCCCTCCCCCTTCTCTCTTCTCCCTTCTTGTCAGGGGTCTCATGTTGGGTCATTGGGTTTCTTTTGACTGATGCATAGACGTCTACTGCATCAGTGGACCTACAATTAAGTATAATATTATAGCTAATTCGGTATATGCATTTGTTCCTTCCTTTTTTTGTACATGTGAGGTCCCTCGCCTAGTGATGATGCATGTGTGTGTCAGTCAGCCCCCAAACACTGTGTTAGTGTTACGTTAGTGTTGCGTATTAGTAATGCAGTGATGCGTGCGTTCATTGGTGAGTCTCAAAAGGGTTTTAAACACGTGCCCAACCGAGGCAGAGCGACACTTGCTGACTGTCACACGTTGAGCTACTGTCGCCACCCATTCATTGTCGAGGGCTACACAATGGAACGACACCCGCCAATTTCTCAGAATTGAGTAAATCCATTCTTGCACGTGCACACTTTGAAACGCTGTCTATGCTAATCTAATAACACTGGCTATTTCCATTAGTTCACTGGCTCCACTAGGGACCACCAATTTCACTCACATTTTGCATGCTCTTAATTAATCTAATTACACCCACTGCCGGCATGTCCCCCCAATACACTGGCTCCGCTAATGATAACACAATCGGTGTTAAACAGCTATATTCATGGGTTAAGGCCTCCAAGGGCCAGGCCTGTTTATACTTGTCTTGAATGACCTCATCCCCATGTTTTGACGACTCCTTGGTTATCAACTGATCATCATCGACATGGCAACACTGTAGAAGCGACACAGCTGTATTTTGGGATTGGTAGTATATGGGTTGGAATGAATAGCTGTATGTGGCTTACACAGAACCTGTTGGGCCAGTGATGCAGGGGGAGGGGATGCTGTTGGGCCAGTGATGCTGGGGGAAGGGATGCTGGGGGAGGGGATGCTGTTGGACCAGTGATGCAGGGGGAGGGGATGCTGTTGGGCCAGTGATGCTGGGGGAGGGGACGCTACTTAGTATATACAACAATGTAGTGTCAGGCTCCTTCTCTTTGTAGGTTCTACAGGTTTTTAAAATGCAGAAAAAATTTTTGCATTGTATAATAAACTGCAAGAAAATTGCAACTGAATCATCTGCACTATGGTAATTTATTCGCCATTGCTTTCCCCTTACCATCCTTTTTTCTCACACATCTACTTCTCCTCCTCCTCCTCCTCCCCCTCTAGACCTCCATTCCAGCAGCGAAGGCTCAGGGAGTGTTGCTGGTGGCAGCCACCACCAGACCCGACTCTCTAGACCCAGCTGTCAGACGGTCCGGTCGATTTGACCGCGAGATCTGCCTCGGGATCCCTGACGAGCCTGCCAGACTCAGGTCAGCTGATAGTCATGTGACTCTGGGGAAGATACACGTGATGGGAAGACCCATAAATGCACATGCATGCAGCGAAAACTGAGTTACTCCTGCCCAACTGTCAGTGTTGTCTGTTTCTAGTTCAGATATCAAACTTAACGCAAACTGTTCATCAATCCCAGTATTCTGCGGGTGTTGACAAGAGGTCTTCGTCTGGAACCAGATTTCCCATTCCAGGACCTGGCACACCGGACACCGGGTTATGTGGGTGCTGACCTCCAGGCTCTGATTACTGAAGCCTCTCTCTGTGCTGTCAACAGGTCAACACACACACACACACAGATTGTCAGGGGGAGGGGAAAAATTCGCTGCCAGGACTCCTCTTTGAAAAGTATCTCTTTGTTTTGCACAGTTCGACTTTTCTCAGAAAGAAATTTTACCATTGGCTGATTAATCTCCCCTCCCTTCTGAAAAAGCCGCTTCCCAGAAACACCCATTGTACTGCATGTGCCATACACATTACTGAGTCTGTAGTTTAACAGCCAGCTGCATACATAAGTAATCTTAACCCCAGCCCATACAACCACCCATTCAACCACCCAATACTTGGCATCAGTCCAAAACCACTCTGCATAATTATTCTCACGCACTCATTCACATTTCGTGTTCTATGGCTATGGTGGCCATATTATTCCTGGAACCGAAGAACCTGCAAATTTTTTGCGTAATAATGAAGGCTGTGCTACTGCAATGTACGTGGGTATGATAGCAGAGCTGCATCAAAGTGTGTGTGTGTGTCTGTGTGTCTCTGTGTCTGTGTGTGTGTGTGTGTGTGTGTGTGTGTGTGTGTGTGTGTGTGTGTGTGTGTGTGTGTGTGTGTGTGTGTGTGTGTGTGTGTGTGTGTGTGTGTGTGTGTGTGTGTGTGTGTGTGTGCGCGTGTGGACTCCAATGACGCAAGAGCCCACCCAAGGCCCCTATACCTCCCGGGCAATAAGCACCTTCGTTACGTTTAATTGGCCTTAGCACTACGTCGCAATTAGCCTCAATTTGAAATGAAATGTATACAGCTGTCGACTGTAGTGAATGCACTTTGCCGCACACTGATAAAGGGGGCGCCACATTAGCTGGTTGAAAATGAGGGTGGCCTGAAACTCTCTGTACATTTTGCAACAGAGTGTGCCCTTGTGAGAACACCACCCTGAACGTCTTGTCATCCTTACTCCAGAAAGTTATAGCTATTTGTCTATTGCAGTCGAAGTATGGTTAAATCAAACGCTCTTTCAAAAATTGACGAAGGTTCGACTTCGCAGTCTTTTTCAAGTGCCACTAAATACACAGACCCACAGTAAGATACAAACAACAGAGGCAGTCAATGTTCAACAATACGTACAAAAACATACTTCTACTGTTGTGGTAGTGTCAATGATGTTTGTAGTTTACCAACTACATGCCTCCTGTTGTGTAGGCTCTTGTCCACCAGCGGTAGACACGCCCTCTCAACTCCCGTGGGAGGAGCTTCACCGGGGTCAGAGGTCACAGGTTCAACCGTAACTCCAGAAGAGGGGGCGGCCCCCGGCCCCCACACTGAAAATCAGAACCCCTCCTTTGAGAACAGAGACCCCCAGAGTTTGGAGGGTCTTGACGACATATTCATAACAGCTAAGGATTTTGAGGTATGTAGATAATAGGGAAGGTAAAAGGGGAGAGGAGAGAAGAAGTGGGCGTATATTATACTTAAAACTTCAGGACGGAAGAGTTTTTACTCAAAGCAACCTTTTGCCATAAAGTTCTATAAGAACCAAACAACTTCATAAAATCAGGAAAGTTTGCCACAGAAGAGTAAGGCTTTGGAGTATGGAGGGGGGGATGCCTAGCATACCACTGAGGTATAGTACCAGGGGTTATCCCTGTAATCCTGGGGTTGTGGGTGGAAGGAATGTTGGGTGTTTCCCAAATCCTATTCTCCCCTTTGTTTTTGGAAACTGTCCTCCTGCCCACAACTGAAACCTGAAACCACTGTTCCACTCCCTCCAAAACCACCTTGAATCAGCTTTGTCTAGGGATGAAAGATTCTGGGGTTTTTCTTTCTCATTCTCTTCCTGTCTCCTCTCCCTCTCCTTTCTTCTCCCTCCCTCTCCTCTCTTCTCCCTCCCTCTCCTCTCTTCTCCCTCCCTCTCCTCTCCTCTCCATCCCTCTCCTCTCTTCTCCCTCCCTCTCTCTCTCTTCTCCCTCCCTCTCTCTCTCTTCTCCCTCCCTCTCTTCTCCCTCTCCCTCTCTCTCAGCTAGCTCTCCAAGAGGTGCAACCGTCTGCGATTAGGGAGGGGTTTGCGACTGTCCCTGACACCAGTTGGGACGACGTGGGGGCACTGGAGGACGTGAGAGAGGAACTCACTCTGGCAATTTTGGTCAGTCACACTCCTTTCTTCTTGTTCGCAGTAACCATTCTGGTCTGCCATACACTCCATCAAGCAAAACTTACCGAATTGTGTGAAACGTTCTCTCAAGGTCGCGCTGAAATTTTGCACTTGTACTCACTACATCAAAAATTCATCATCTTTTAATTGCACGTCGTTCGCCATCTAATTAGAGAGCACCATTCTATTTTGCAGGCTCCAGTGAGGTACCCACGCCAGTTTGCAGGTCTAGGTCTGACCACACCCCCTGGCATCCTGCTGGCTGGTCCTCCTGGATGTGGGAAAACTCTCCTAGCAAAAGTATATACATGTATATACATATGTATGTACAAATTTGTTTGCTTGTGGCAGAAAATTATGAGGGTCAGTTAAAAAAAAGTTTTTTTAACTGACCCTCATAATTTTACATGCAAGTCTCTAGAATCACATAGAACATTATGGCATGTATATACAGTGTGGGTCACATATAAATTCCTGCATCTAGATGCCTAAATAGGTTCCTTTCGGTCACGTGTATAAGGTATTCCCGCGATGTGTGTTTTGCTGCAGGCCATCGCAAATGAGTCTGGAATAAACTTTATTTCTGTCAAAGGTCCTGAACTATTGAACATGGTACGTTGTCATGATTAACATCGCCAACTAAGTAATCATGACATCGTCAATGACATCACTGTGACATCATGTATTACAGTATGTGGGAGAGAGTGAGCGGGCAGTTCGGCAGGTGTTTCAGAGGGCACGAAACTCCGCCCCCTGCGTCATCTTCTTTGACGAGCTGGACGCTCTCTGTCCAAGGAGATCAGAGATGGCCGAGGTGACCTTTGAACTTTGTCTGTGATAGATTACTCCGTTTCTTCTTTTCCCTTATCTTACCCCAAAACTTCGTCTTTTTCCTCCAATCTTCAGTCTTTTTCTGCTGTCTAATATGGGGATAGGCTTTAACCTGCCGATGTAAACAGTGGCATCCAAATGGGCAATTTGAACCTTCATGTGATGACATCATTTTAATATCACTAGCTATTAAAGTTGCTTGTTATGGTATAAACCTTTGAGCCTTCACTAGATGATGTCATAGTTTAACCCTGTCTGTCCGCAAACGTAGGCAGTTTAACCCTGTCTGTCCACAGGCAAGTGCAAGCTCAAGGGTTGTGAATCAACTTCTGACAGAAATGGATGGCTTGCAGGCGCGACGACAGGTGTTTATAATGGCTGCCACTAACAGACCTGGTCAGTGTATTATACTGGGTGAGAGAGGAGGGAGAAGGGGGAGAAGGGGGAGAAAAAGATAGGAGGAGGGAGAAGAGAGATAGAGAGTGTGAGAGGAGAGGGTTTTTCGTAAGTCATCATTTTGTAGCACATCCTTTAGTGATGTATGCAGTGCCCAAACAGGACAGCATGAGCCCTGTATGTTGGATATCCCTAGGCAAATGACATGTATGAACCCTGCTTGCACATGTGGGATTGTATAGGCTGATACAATCCCCCAGTACCTAGCTTCATACATGTCGGTTGCCTAGGGATATCCTAATACAGACCACACCCCTCCCCCCTGTTCTATATAGATATCATTGATCCGGCAGTTCTGCGACCAGGTAGGCTGGACAGGGTCGTGTATGTCGGTCTCCCTTCCTCCCGAGACCGCACCCTCATCCTCAACACCATCACCAAGGTGATTATCACTCCGATATCCCCCTGAAACGGAGGACATGTGTATTATCTCCTGATATTGTTTTTTGAACTGATCTTGGCTGGACTCATGCACGTATATATTGGTTCATTCCATATATGGTTAGGGGCGAGCAGATCGATCTACAAACAAATCAGGCCTATGTGTGTTTTAATCACAGCAACCGCATTCCCGAGGTAATGTCATGACAACTGGATAATTACTATGTATATCGTCGTCCAAATTAATGATGCAGACGTTTGCAAGTAGTTTCCAACAATTCTCAATCTCGACTCTCTCATTGTCTAGAATGGAACCCGGCCCAGGACACGGAACGTGGACATGTCGACACTCGCCAGTTCCGAGTACACCGAGGGATTCTCGTATGTTTCCATGGAAACCACCCGTGTGTGTGTGTTTGTTGGTGTGGGAGTGAAAACTTTCACTATGACCGGTCGTGGTCGGCAAGCTATAAAAGTGCATAAACAGCATTTCTCGAGCGCTGGAAAGCGTGTGTTTGTGTCAATACCACGTGTTTGGATGTGTGTTTTTATACGTGGCATCTACATGTATGTAATATGGCGTGGGCCTTATATTTGACAATTCAAAATAGGGGACACCCTCTCTATTATTGTTTAATTCAAGTGCAGCTGTAACACAATGTTCGTGGTGGTCCCAGTGTGTCGATTCTGTATTTGGAGGTTGAATTACTTGTGTGTGTGGCTTGCTTTTGTGGCCAATCATGTTTGGTGGTGACAGGACTATGTAAGCTTGTAACTTGGCAATCAAGATAATAATGTAAAGCATGTCTATCTTGTCAAGTAGTTGTAGGTTTGCTGTACATTCTTTGTAAAGAGCATTGACAGTGGAACATGTGAGTTCTACAGCACCAGCTGGTTTCTAGGTGACACCGTGGATAAGGACACTCTTAGCTTAAAAATTTGATGACACCTTTCTAATTATTCTCTTTTCGTAAGCAGTTCTTGTGTTAGATTTAACCAGCCCTTGTAATAAGGACGCCTCATGAATGTGGACACTACTCCTGTCCTGTTTGTGTCCTGATTAGAGCAGTGGCTACAAAAACAAACTTTTGCCTTGTTTTCATCCACAAGCTGGGTCCACCGACTGTTTTTCTAGTGGTTGGGAGTACAATTGGATTTGGTAGACCTGGAATGCACCTTAACCCTATTCACAGTTCTCTGGTAATAACTCACAGCCCTTAAAAATGTATTACGAGCTCTACTTTTGTTGTGCCTATTACTACATAGATGGTGTGAATTTGTTTTGGAATTGCATGCTAGGCAGGCGGTGTGTGATGACTGATAATGGCCTGGGTATTACTCTGGGGAGTTAGCTAGCCTTGCATGCGCTGGGCCGCGCAGCCTACACAAAACTTGTTGCAACATTCCAGGGTCAACCTCCTGGTACGACTGGGGCTGCGATATTTGTCATGGAGACTGCTGCATAGTCGTGCATACATTGTATCAGTAATAATGAGTTGGCACAGTTGGTTAGGTTGTATGGGTGTGTTATAGGTAGAGGTGAAAGGCCGATATTAGCTCAGATTCCTTTGGATTAATGTACGTATACAAACTGTACCTAGATTCAACTGTTTTGCATGTGCACCATGTGTGTGTGTAAATGTATGTTGTGTGTATGTTGTGTGTATGTTGTGTGTATGTACATGCATGTTGGTCACTGCATTGAAAGCGCATGCACTTGTGGTTTTCACAATAACTTTTGCACTACTTAAACCCAGCCTCGCTGGTGGTTTTTTTAGCAATTTCTCCCTCCCCTCCCTCCCTCCCTCCCTCCCTCTCTCCAGAGGTGCTGACCTGAAGTCTCTTGTGAGAGAAGCTGCAATAGCTGCCCTCAGGCAGCACATGCAACTCTCTTCCGATTGGTTGACTCCTGACCAATCAGATCACACCTCATCACTGTTTCCCGCGGTTACAAAAGTGGGTGGAGCCTCGGAGGGGGAAAAGGTGGACGGTGAAGAGTGTGTTGTGGCGATGGAGAACTTTGTTTCGGCACTGAAAAGGGTCAAACCCTCTGTCTCAGGGAAGGTAATTGGTCGAGAATCTTGTCATGCTCACAAGCTCTTGTTACAACTGCCCTAAATAAATAGTGGTGGTTGATTTTCAAACCAAAGAAAGTGAAATAATGCCGAGTGTTTGTGTAGGTGCGTCTCTTTAGCTACAACAGCAAGGGACTTTTATAACACACAGCAGAGGATCACCTCGGTTGTTTACATAACCATTTGATTTGCCTGTTTAGGTCTTGCAGTGTAATGAGACTGTTCCCTCATAATCACTCTGCATGTTTACATTGTGTTCTCTTGTACCCCACCTACAACTTGTACACCCCACGTACAGCTTGTACAAGGAAACGCGTGTTTTCTTGTTAGAGGGGTTGGCATAAAATGCCCGAAAGAGGTGTTATGTTTTACCATTGCATATAATATACCCTGTTTATTTTTTGACAAAAGATGCTGCCTTCCCTACCCTAATACTACCATTACACCTACTATCCCTCCCGTTAATGTAAGCTGATCCCCAGATAAGATTGTGTAAGCTTCCTCACATGTTTTCCATGCCTTTATAGCGCTTCTTTGTGCCATAGTTACTGACTGTTGAACGGGAACTGCCACCTAAAGCTTCATGCTTGGATCTTTGAAGTGTGCTGTGTATTAGCACATACAGGTCTTATCTGTGGTCTTTATCTACAACTCCCCCTGTAGTTCTTGTAGACTATGTCCAGAGAGGGCGTTTGTGCATGGAGATACTGCAGGCAAAGAACAGGTGCCTGATATGTAGGTGTGTGTAAGGCTAGCACAATACCATGTGTCATGGGGTCAGTCGTGGTGAGTAAGTGATGTTGTAGTATAGTGTGCAAGGATGCAATGCCACATGTGAACCTAGCAAAAGTATGGCAGCAGCTATCGCTGTAAAAATTGTAAAACTTTACATGGTGTTATGTAAATTATGTACAGCTGAAACAGGTGTGTGTGTGTGTGTGTGTGGAAGGTGTGTGTTTTGAAGACGACAGGCTACACAGGTGCCTAGCTACGGTCTGTGCCTTTGCTTGTGTGCCAGGCCAAATCATTCCTGATTTGTACCCTCACTCCCCACGCTTGCCAAGAACTTGATGGGTGCAATAGGTCCATCTGTAATTGATTGTAGTACAGTGAGACCCTCTAACCAGGACACAGTGAGACACAATAATTGGTCAGGTGTCCTTTGTGTAAAGGCCTGAATTGCATGCCATTATGTACAGTTGTTGTTAATAGAGGTGTCCTCATTTTTAGGGGTGCAGTTATAGAGGTGTCCCACCACATTTCAGGCATTGCTTAGTCTTTTGGTGAGGTTAATGAAATTCCTCGTGGAAACTTCTAGAACATTGTGCTCCTACTAGTGGAGTTGAGTTGCGCACATTCCAAAGTGGTTACTATTGTTGAAGCCATTTGCAGTGGGGGCGCCCCTATGATAACGAGGGGTATACACCTTGATAACAGGGGGCTGTGGTTGGTTGGAATCCAGGAATTGATAACTGAAAAATGACCTTGACAGTTCCTTAGCATTTGAATAGACTCTCGATAGTTAACTTTTTGTCTGTTGTTGAGTAGCTCATTGCTGAACTGCGTGAAAATCCTTCAAAATTCCATTGAGGTTTGGTTGGGAGATGAGATGACTGGAATAGTATGAACTTCTTTATGGCGCACAGGGCAGACAGGCATGCTCTGCACGACATGGCCTTTGTTGACCACAGAACCTTCTAGAGCCAGCAGCTGCTCTCCATACTGAGAAGGCGTGTTGTTCCTGAAACATCCATACATGTTTACGTCTACGTTGTACATGCTTATTACTGCTATAATGCATGGTGTACTGTATAGTTTGTGTAGTACACATATAGCATTATAGCTGCATACAGCATTAGAGCAGTGTGTATGCATGTAGGTAGTTTCAGACCACCGGAGTTTTGTTCACTGTATGTATGCATTCCTAATGCATTAGGCAAAGTCCTTGGAGGTCCTCCATACCTTCTCTGGTACGTTATCTTGCCACCATAAAGTGGCTTCCTTCCCTGTTCCACCACTACTACCACACTGTGTGTGTATGTGTGTGTGTATGTATGCTTGCGTTTGGGTAGGGCACCGTGCAGAGTGAATCAACTTGGAGCTATGGCAATAATGCATGCTACCGCGTGTGTGTATGAGAGGAAGAAAGTGGTATGTGTGCTGAGTAAGTGTAATTTGCTAATATTTAAAGTGTGGAATGGATCCAAAGGGGAGGTTGAAAGTGAAAGAGAGATGGAAGAAGGTAAAGGGATAAACAAGAGGGTGAGAAAGAAAGGGAGGGAGGGTAGATATTAAAAAGATGGAGAGAGGTGAAGAAACGATGACAGCAGGGGTTTCACATGTAGCTATAAATTCGCTACGTAGTTACTCTGTACAGTGTTCACAGTCACCTGTGCCCTGTACTCTCACTGCAGCATAGTATACCATCATCAACAGTAACTGTAGTGTCCTTATGACCTATGTACTATCGTAAAGTACAGAGTCCTTGCAACTGCTGCTACATTCTATGCAGGTCCTAGCAACAAAAAGGTGCTAACACAGCCCTTATGTTCATAATGCCACACCCCTACAGTAACCCAACCTGTATATATATATACACTGTGAAGTGAGTGTGATGCACCAAAGGAATTGGGGAACATTAAAAATGCATTTGTCCTTGCATTACTGTGGGGTTAATTGGACGCATTGGACTGAGGTGCATCGGGTAATTGAGTTGTGTGTGTCTAACCTGCGCTGGCATTCCTGGAGAACATGCTGGCCTAATGGATAATGTCCGGCCTGTTTTTTCCCTCTACTAATGCATTGCTGCAAGAGGAGAGGGAAATATCTAGAATACGGTTGAAAGAAATGCAGTGGGATCTACAAATAGAGGACAAGCTGGGACAAATGCATCCGTCCATTGAATTGAGCTGGCCTGTTTTTGGAGGGTGACATGAATAATACAATGACATGTTATAACTATTTATGGCCTTTGTTTGATACCACTACCATGCTTCCCCGATTGAAGCCTCTTTAGTGCAACCTGGTCCTTCCCCAATTTTATAGTATTATGTACTAGAACAATAGGTATCAATTGACTTAAACTATCCCTTCACAAATACACAATGCTATCTTGCCTATCCAGGACAGACTGTTCTACGAGTCTATGAGAGAGCAGTTCAGTTGCAGCAAGACGAGCTAGCCAGCTGGCGGGCGGGCTGCCTGCAAGCACTCCTTCCAACAAATGTACGGCTGTGTCCGTCTCTTTGCTTGTCTAGCCTCGAGTCCAGGTCCTCTCTTGTCCCTTCATTTTCCGCCATGGTCTCTCTGTTCATGCATGCAAAGAACATCGGCGTCACAAGGCAAAAGGCAATACAATCAGCACAACTATATACACCCAGGACATCTCTTTTCCGCAAAAAAAGCTGCCATGGGTGGGATCCAGTCTGTGCTCTACCCACCACTCTATCAGCAGCTCAGCAGGCTTGACTCTCAAACAACTCCGCTATGGCATTGCAAAACCCTGCAAAACCCTAATGCATGTGCAAGCAATCAGGAAAACAATGCAGGCCTGGATTGGAAGCTTTACAAGTCAAGGAATGTACACCAAACACCAGTATTGTGTTTCGCTCTGTTAATATTCCATTTCTCCCGTGTCTCTAGAATTGGGCTGTGCAAACTCCAGCTACAACTGCCTGTGTCTTGACTGGTCACTATCAAAACACTGTATTGTGTACATCGTTGTGCCCACCTCTGTATGTATGTATGTATGTATGTATGTATATCTACTGTGTTTACTGATCCTTACTTGCTACGCTAGATGAGTGCAAGCGGAAAATCGAGCAAATTTATTTTTAAGCTCTGGCGCAAGTGTGTGTTTGAACAGAAAAACACACTCACCTTCTCTACTCACCTCTCACTGCACCCTTTAATACACTAGAGACACATTTGGTAGGTATGCCCCTGCCATTCATTACCTGCTGTAGTATTACACCACAGTATAGCCAGCACAGGCTCTCTTCCCTCCTGAATTGCGGCCATTAGTGACGGATAGTGGAGCTACAATAAGACGCGTGTGTTTGCATAAAGAGAGACTGTTCGCGTGTGTTTGTGAATGAAGGGAGGAGTGATAGGGCATTGTGAGGACACCCTGTCGTTACAAGCATCGTTACATGATGTTTACATGCAAGCGTGTATTGTTGTAGATTCTGTAGATGTCTTGTAGTATCTGTTAGCCTGTTGCCTGCGTGGGGTTGTTGACTTTGTGTGATGTCAGCAAAGTGCATGCATGCGTGCCTGTTTGAATTGTTGTTCTGGACTACACTACATCCTAATTACACTTCCCATATTATGAGAGTTCTACTCAGGTTTCAGTGTGTGTAATGAAGCCAAAAGGGAGGCAATTTTGAGACTCCAAATTTCTGGCAAGGACCACCTTTGCCAGACCAGGCATTCTCTCTCTCTTGTAGCTTGATATCTGATCTCCCTCCCACACACATAGCCTTTCTGCCCATTATTTCTCTACTCAGCTTCTTTTACGCTACAGCTTCTTTTACACTACTCTATGCCACTGAGATGAGTAGGAATGCAAACAGATCCTTACCCAGCAATTTTGTCTAATCTCCCCCTAATCCTCCTACCTCTAAATAGTACTATATACTACAATTTTATGCCAAAGCAAGCACTCTGTGTATGCAGGGTACATGTGTAGTCTTGTTGCTGTGTTGTTGTTGTTGTGTGTACTCAATATAAGGTGCCTTGTTTCCATCTCTCTCACCCCCTCCCCCCCACCTCCTCCTCCCCCTCACTCACACACTAAGGCCCTCCTTTTCCTTGTTCAACACTCTAACACAGTGTAGGATGCATGTACATACAGACCTGGTAGTAGAGTGTGTATGTAGGTATATAATATGTGCCTACATGTGTGTAGTGTTTACATCAGGCGAGGACGAATGAGGAAAACACTGCTCTCACAGACTGAAACTGATCACCTCATTGAGCGCCAGACACTCCAGGGTGGTTGTTGTTGAAACTTGTCGGCTCACCTGATCGCCCTGTGACGGCGGGCGGTTCTTTAGGACACCAAGGACGCCAGTAGCGCGCATGCTATCAGGACAACTGTTCAGGACAATGTTCGCATGCGCTGTTGGTGCATGCAGTTCGTTCGGTGGAAGCCCGGGCCTCGATTTTACCGATCGAGACGGCGTCCTGATTTTCCAAACACGAAGAGGAAGTCCGGAACCAACTAATGGAAGAAAGGTGTACGCTACGGCATGCGTTATAGTAGTAGTATAATGTAATAGTCTGCGCCAAATAGAAGAAAATTGTGTCCGTACTGCGGATTATGCATGGGTGTTGTGTAATGACACTCTGAGGGAGTGGCCTGCCCAGCGAGATGACAGGCTCCATTTTTGACGTGCAATTTGGCAGCAGTTTCAAAAACAGCTGGGTTGGAGGATGGCGCTCCTTGGCACGCTGTTGAGCAGTTTTTGGCTAATACCAGCCGGAGCCCTGTGCACTCACACTCTTGGGTTGATATTGATTTACTGAGAGCTGTAGAACTGGATGTGACACAGAGTTGCCTGGGCACTCGACCATTTAAGGCTGCATATCTTTTTCTCGGACCATGAACATGCACACAACAGATGTTACAGTATAATTATGATGCTCTGAGAGTGGTGTGTATTGTTGCACTGGTGCTCTCAGTGATTTGAACAACTCTGGTGGCTCTGCCAATCATCGCTGTATCTTCATCCCAGTCAGACCAGTGCTATTTCTGGTCATTTCCCCAAAAAGCAATTTAGCAAAGCAAGCAGTCAACATTGATCCCCCTGCCCTGTGGCCTACCCACAGACTGGAATTGGGGTTTCAATGTCCTAAAGGAGATAAAGGAGTGGACACAATGGACCACAGAAGTGATCCTAACCGTCAGCCAGGCCCAGGTAAGCCACCCACTCACAACTCCTTTTGGAGAGCTGGACCTTCTTGGCTTCCAAAACTACCTGCAGCTAATTAGGCAGGCATAAGGGTTCACTATGCCCCAATCAGCATTCCAGGACCTCATGTACTCAGTGTACTCATTAACCCCTGGGTCACTGCACTCTAGGGTGTCCATGGCAACCTTTCAAGTCCAGACGCCACACCCAAACAGGTTTAGGTGTGTCGTTTGTGTCCCCACTTGCACTGTCCACCCAGATACCACTCTATGGCCTCCATAAGTAGCCAGACAGACACGAGGTAAGAGCTATGTACCTGCCTTTCCTTTCCTTTCCCAAATTCCACGCAACTGACAGTAATAAACAGTTTGGTACCTAGCTTTAAGCAATGATCAGCTGTAAACCAGAATGCACACCCTTCCTGCCCCACCTTATAAAATACACCACCACACCTGCTTGTAATACCAGGACACCAATATCTGCACCAAAACAGCACAATTGCTTAGTAATCTGGTAAACAAGTGTTTTATTATCGTTTATTATCGCTTCGATACCTTGTTACTGCAAGCAGCAATGTCGTCAATTAAAAATCATAAATAACTTGTATTATAATAATACTCAGAGGGGACAGACATAAATAAATAAATAATTAGAGTGCAAAAAATATGAATAACGGAACCTAACACTAATGATTAATGGTGTAAAAGTGCCCAATTGGCTCTGTGATTACAAGTGGTGTATATACAATAATAATAATAGTGATACACAATGTGTAAAACATTTCTACAATATTATGACAGAGGCTATTGGAGCATGAAATAAGTTATATAAATAGCAGGGATGGAAGCAATAAATACTGGAGTTTACAACAGCCGTCAATGTTGGTTGGGTATGTGGTAGTGAAAAGAACAACAAAAGTGTTGGTTGTTGACCTGTGTGCTATACTAACATTTTTGGGGGCAAATAAACACAACACACGAATGACAGAACGACAGAACATACACGTGTTAAGGTTTCATTGAGCCACAGGCCCTCACACCAGTGGTGTACATATACAATATCTGATAGATGGAGGGGTTTATGGTAGGCTGAATCACGCACAAAAACACACATCATATAAAGAGGGGTCGCAAATACTAAGTGACTTGTAAAAAAGGACACGCTGTAGAAAAAGGGGGGATTGGCACGGAATGCAGGGACGGTGAAAAACTTAATTGTGGGGTTACTTCATGGAAAAGTGGGGAAAGATGCCACCCTCCCGCGAAGAGGGTCACTCGCACAACCGACGAGGAGAGCCGTGTCGCTCTGTGAGCTCATCATGTTGTCAAATACGGGCAGACGGCTTCGGGCAGAGTTGGCAGCGGACGGGGAGAGCCGAGGGGACAGGGGCGGAGGGAGTGCGGGGGAGTCCCTGATCCCGAGACCCATCAACAGGTTCTGCAAGTCCAGCGCCGGGTCCGACGGCACCCTAAACCCGTTTCCTCCGCCTCGACCGGCAGACTTGAGCGGGGAGTAACTCCCGTACGAGGAAGTGGCGTCGGTCTCACCGAACGGATCCTGGCCGTAGTCGGAGAGAATCCCAGATTCGCTGGACTCAAGATCGGTGTACTCAGAGCTGAGTGGGGAATAGGTGGCGTACCTCGACCGGGTGAGGGGAGGGGCATGAGTGAAGCGTTCGTCTCCGCCCTCGTCCGAACCAGACCCTGCCCCACTGCTGCCGCTGCTCCCTGACCCAACCACGGGGAACTCGAAACTCCGACAAGTCCCGGGGCAACCGTCGGGGGACGAAATCCCGGAGTCAACGGACGGACTAATGGGGAGAGAGGTGGAGTAAGGGGCAGCCGAGGATTTCTTGACGGGGCTGGGCGGAGGAGTGCTGCCGGAGTCCGCCTGACGAGCCTCGTCCAAGTTGTGGATGAAGTGACAGCGAGGTCCGTAGGGACAGAGCCCGGTTGAGTGGTAGGTGCGACACAGCTCTGTTTTGTACTTGGGGTGGCGAGGCATTACCCGCAGGTCGTGTATCCCGTGAGCAAACTGACACTTGTCCCCGTACTTGCAGACCCGGTACTCCTGGTACGGTCTGCACAGTTCGGTCTTGTAGCGACTGGTGCTCACGCCGGTCGGCTGGGTCTGTTTCTTCACCTCTTCGAAGGCGGCACGGGGTTTCGTGTAGCTCTTACCGCCCATGACAATCTTGACTGTGGTTCTCTTGGATGCAGGGAGTGGGCTGCCGGTAGAGTGGGCACGAGGCCGGCTTGTAGGTGGGGGGTAGTACAGGAGAGTATTGCCGGGAGCCTAGGGTGTGTGAGGGTGTGTGTGTGGGTGTGTGAGAAAGACAGAGACAGGTGTTAGTAGCTGCAGCACAGGATAGCAACGGGATAGCACACACACTGCTGCCAGCTCAAGCTGGTCAGCAGGGGAGAGCACAAAATTTCCAGGCTTTGGCCCTGAATGGATGAATATTTGCTGAGACTAGACTACGAAGCGCAAAAAATGCGCGCCGCCCGTTTGCAAGAAACGTGGGCCGACTGCTTGGAAACACAAAACAGTGAAAGCCAAGGCCACACACTTCTACGTTTGCACGCGTCAAAAAGGGCCACCGTACAGAGATGCACGACAGGGCAGGCAGACGCGTTTGCTTGCAGCACGGATAGCCGACGCAACCGGAGAACTGGAGAGGGTAAACACGAGAGAAAGAGAAACGGAACTTACGCGTGAGTGCGGCCCGCTCAGACCGTCACTGAGCGTCAGCGTGTCCATTCTTGCAGTTTCTCCCTCCCTCTCTCTTTACAGCGGCTGACGTTCACGAGGTTCTCTGCGTCGCAGGTCCGTCGGAAAGTCTTCGTACACAACGCGCCGCCAGCTACGAGTTGCTGCTGTGACGCGGGAAATCCAGGGCATGTGGCGTACGCTCTTCTTCTCGAAATGAACGCTAAGGAAGCTGCAGCAAAGTTCAGATCTGCGTACGTCTCTGCGTGTTCTTTTTCAGGCCAAAGCTGCACGACAGGCGATGCGGCTTTTATACAGGCATCACAATTTGCACGATTACGCGCGTTTGATTAATTTTGCGCGGCGGCGCGCGCGCTCATGCGCACACACGTACACAGGTAGGTAGGTAAACCCACTTAATTATGCGCACGCGCATAACAAATCAACAATTCATCAACACGCTGGAGTATAAAATTGAACACACTAAAAATGTGAACACACTGAAAATTGAACACACTCATGGGTATCGTATCCAGGCGCTGTACAGCTCAGGGATGCTGGCAGACATTGTAACGGTGAAGGCCGTCTTATTGTTCAGGACAGGGGGCAAGGAGAGGACATGGAAGAGCGACGGAGCACTCACGTTACCCCGCCCGGTCTCATCCATCGCCTTAATTGCAGGGTCCCTCCTGTCATCAGAGGGTGGGGGAGGCCCCCAGTGGTCATAGTTTGTCTCGACAAGAAACCATCTCTCCTTGAAGGCCTCCAGTCTCCAGATGTCGAGTGCACCGGTACGATCGCGAGTTATCACCGCACCTTCGTTTGATTTCACTCCTCCCACGATGAGGTAGCACGGTGCAATAAGAGGCTGGTAGGCCAGTCTGAGGATGGCATCGCTGAAGCTGAGAGAAGCGTCTCCCAGTGTGTCGCGGATTAGGAAACCAGTGATTGCATGCGTGCCTCCAACCAAGGCGTCCAGTACGTTCATCCACCATTCTCCCTTGTCCCTCTGGTCAAGAGATACTGTATAAGCATGTGGTCTCTGTCCCGTGAGAACACCGACGTACCCTACAAAGGTGGTACCGGTGTACAGCGTCTTCCCAGAAGACTGAAAGTCCACGGTGATGGTCATGTTTCTCAGATAGTTAGCGATGGAATAGTCCAGGTTTCTGCCGTGGTAGACGGTCCCGTTGTCCGCCTCTGCCACGATGCTCGTGCACGCTTTTCCCCAAAGGGGTCTGCTGCTGTTATAAGCAGTCGCCTCGTAGAGCAGATTTCCGAGCAGTGTCTCGCCCAGTGTCACGTCTCCGGCCAACGCAACACCTACGATCTCCAAGTTGTAAGGATACGGAATGTACTGGATCGCGTTATCGCCCGTTACGGAAGCGAGCGCGACGAGCTCGGCCCCACCATCTTCTTTAACTGCTTCAGGAGCCCCTGAAACTCCTTCTTGTAGTCGCTCACGATGTGTGTCCAGCGGTATTGAGGATCCTGGTCTAGATTGACGACGTAGCGTGGCGTGGGGACGGTTCTCTCCGCCTGGCAGATCGTCACCAGGATGACCGATAGTAGCAGGAGCGGCGATAGCAGTAGCAAACGCATCGTGCCTCTGTTTCTCCTCGAAGAATGGACTGCCTAGCTGTCGAAATACCTCACTGATGATGACATGCCACTCCCACGCCCGCGCCCAGGAGGGGGAGGGGCTCGAGCCTGCGCACACGTACGTGTACGTACGTACACGCCCAGGAAGACGGTAGGAAAATGCAAAGACCTTCCTCTGCGTTAGTGCGTCGGAAGGCAGCATCAGAGGAGAGACAGCATAGGCCTAGAACATCCCTGGGGTTCGCGCGGAAATCTGATGTTTGTTGCAAGGGATCCCAGCTCGTAGGTTTCGACGTCAGCGAGTACTTTCGCAGGCACGGGTCGTCAGCAGGCCTGCACATTGGCGTCAACGGCAGACCGAGCGGCGACGTGGCGCTCCGGAGTTACGTTGAGGACTGCAGACTAGAAGCTTTAGTCCGAGAACTGGAGGAGGAGGAAGAGAAGGAGTGGGTTACGGGCTGGAAGAAGAAAACGGGAGGAAGCGAATCCCACATTCAGCAGCAAGCACCCTTGTGTTGGGATGCACTTCTCGAGAAGACAGAGGCAAGACAAAACAGCTTACGTCCAAATAAATTAATTTCCTCTCTGCATCTGTAAAATTTTATTCTGCAGGTCTCCATGAGAGTACCTCATGGAGAAGAGGCAAGGCGCGTGAGCCGAACCAAAGTGGTTTATGCAACTCAGAGAACTGGCGAAAGATTGAGGCACCCACGCACAAGAGCTCTTCAAAGGAGTCTTTACGTGGAAAGCTGTGCAGCAGAGGACCAGACGTCATGGGTATCGGGGGATCCAGATGGACGATGTCAGCGTGAGGAAATAGAAGATGAGGACACTACTGATCTCAGAGGTACGTACAGTGAAACCCCAGGAATAAGGGACACCTGGAATAAGGAGAAAGTGTCCTTTATTCAGAGCCATCCCTTATTCTGAGGTAGTATAATTATATGGGCTTGAACCAATATTGTCCTTTGCCTATGTTGGAGGTTCTGTTCACCGCTCTCCCTTCTCCACTTTGTAACGCACGATCCCTGAGCATATATACGATATGACTACATGTGAATGCGCATGAGGTGACTACAATAAAAATTAACACATACAATAATAGTCCCCTGTTACAACTTTCTAATGTACAAACACTCCTCTACAGAAATTGCAGAGAAGTATCCAGAAATTGGTCTCCGTGTGGTCGATATTGAGGGAAGAGGTGTGGATGATGAGAACCATTGGAGGAGGAGGGAGAGGGGAAGAGGAACTGCCCGGCTTGCTGTATCAATTACCGTGCCTTCTGGCTTTACTGAGGATAAAGGAAGGAGTGTGAGAAAGATCTGTCGCTCACCTGCTGTTTATCCACCCATATCATCACATACTAGCAGTGGATATATAGGCATTGTCAAAAAACATCTTTCTCCGTACCTGAATTGATTTTTGTCACTAATGATGATCGACCCGGTTCTCTAACACACTGCGCCTGCGCAATAATACTAAACGTCACGCGACAAAAGTCATGTGACCTACTATGCGCATGCGCATTACTTTTCCTACGCTCTCGGTGCGCATCGATCTTTTGGTCGTCTTCGACTGAGCGAGATCAGTGTCGTTTTCAAGGAAAGAAGAACGGTCGTAGGGACGTCTAGGTGCCGGGTGTAGCTCTCCACCGCTCCAGACGTCTCCTCTGGCAGCCCATGAAGCCGCGGGGACCTCAGACGCTCGCCCGGAAGACACTAAACTTTTTACTTCTCGAGTGTGGCTACCGTGAGCTATGAGCTCCGTGCAAGGCGGCACGCACTCGTTCTCGGCGGGCACGAGGCAAAAGTTCATGCCCGAGTACCTGGCCAAGCAGCTGCCGATGTTCCAGGAGAGAATTCCCAGACCCAGCCAGGTAAGAATGAGAGAGAGAGGAGAGCAAGACCGAGTGAGAGTGTCTGTGTGTATTCTGGTTCCCTATACTCTCGACTTGGATGCCGTGTGCTTGTGTTCTGGTTCGAAATAATCAGCACTTCTTTATTGATTTGACAACCGACGTGTCAGTTGGATTTCTATGTGAAAAACGCCATCAATTGAGTGTTGGGAATGGAGGGGCTCTGCTGTATGCAGTATAATACACTTTCAACCATTGCTTCATCATATACTCGTCATGAACTGTGTCCAACTGAACGTTTTGCATTGTAATTCGCTGAGAGCCGAACTTATCGAGCTTCAATGAGCCTCATTTGGAACCATTTGGTGATTTAAAAAACAGTGAAGTTACCCTACCCTCGGTGTCTTACTGTAGGGTCTTATTAAGCAATGGTGTGTTGTGTGTCTTGGTGTCCTTAAACTGAAAATGGTGCTATTATCATAAACGGCATGTCGGGGGGAGCTTTGGCAAAAGCTCAGTGTGTGTTTTCTGTCCAAACTTCACACATGAACAGCTCCAAAGATGGAAATCAGCTGTCCCCGTACACATGAAAGTATACTCTATTGTGTCCACGACTCCATTAGCCTAGGCTCCATATTGCAGATTTGGGGGGCTGGCAATAATAATAAGCAGAGCAGCCATTAACCAATGAAGCTCCGTCTAATTGTTGCAGATATGAGCCCATGCCCCGAAACTTGTATTTGTCTGTTCGGGATTGAGCTGTTGAATGCCTAAGAGCTGTCTTTGGCTGTTCACAACCTCTTCTACAGGTTGAAGTTGGGAAGATACTAGTTAGACCCGTATATATTGTAAGTGTGCGGTGTGTCTTGTACTGGAGAAACGTTGTGTGAGAATGTTGGGAAGGAAATGTAAGGTGTGCGTGTCAAGTGTTGAAGATCCCATGTGATTGTATGTATGTTGCATGCATACATACATAACTGCTACACACGTCCTGGTACAGGTTAGTTGACAGGTGTGTAGCTCCGTCTTGTGTCGTTGCTGCCGGCGAACAATAGCCTCCAATGGCTTGAACGAACAACACAGTGTGTGTGTGTGTATTTGTTGACGGTGTCCAACCTCTTGCTCTCCAAGGAGACGTTTATTTATCAAAACGTCTCAAACTATATTTAATCACTTTTCCCCTTCCCTCTCTCCCCCCTCCCCCCTCCCCCCTCACACCTCTCCTTCCCTTTTCTATTCCCTCCCTCCCTTCCTTCTCCCTCCTGAACATCTTGTGAACCCCCAACGGTTGGTTAGCGACAATGATATGCAATGGGGGAGGCACCTCCATATTAGTATGTACACACCCAGTGTATATATACCGCGTTGCATAGTATCCACAGTCTACCATATCCATATTGACATACTGACTCTCTATATAATGTATCCACAGTCTACCATATCCATATTGACATACTGACTCTCTATATAATGTATCCACAGTCTACCATATCCATATTGACATACTGACTCTCTATATAATTTATCCACAGTCTACCATATCCATATTGACATACTGACTCTCTATATAATGTATCCACAGTCTACCATATCCATATTGACATACTGACTCTCTATATAATGTATCCACAGTCTACCATATCCATATTGACATACTGACTCTCTATATAATGTATCCACAGTCTACCATATCCATATTGACATACTGACTCTCTATATAATGTATGGAATCCTGTAGGTTTACTTGTGTGTGTGTGTGTGTGTGTGTTAATGACTATAGAAGGAGCCTGTGCTTGTTTTGGTCAAGTACATGTAAGTTCGCTTACTAGTTATTGTTCTGACAGTATGTGGTTCTCGTGGGGTTGTAGGTCTGTGTGTTCGGTATGTAGTTCTAAAATTAGACTCTTACCATTTATGGATATGTTCTGCAAGTGGTGCATGCAGCGGTTGTGCATAGCGCGTGTTTGTCAATGAGTGTGTGAATGTACGCTATATAACCTGTATAATAGACAGTGTGGTACAGTTTACTATGTACACGTATGCTGCATGCATATTCAGTGAAATATACATATTGGGTGTGGGTAAACAGTACTTGCAAAACAACATGTAGTAGAAACAACATGTCTTTACCTTTTCTGGCGTTCTTCTGTGTATTCACTTCTCTCCCCTCTCCCCCTCCTCTCCCTCCTCCCTCCCATTCCTCTCCCTCCTCTCCCTCCTCCCTCCCATTCTTCTCCTCTCCCCCTCCTCTCCCTTCTCCCTCCTTCCAAGGAGCCCCTCAAGTACCCAACGGATGCACCCGCCAACCTCCCCCTCCCTCCCGTCCTCCCCGGAGAGACGATACTGCTGAAGCAGCACCGCGTGGCATGTCTAGAAACGTTCTCTGAACCTGCGGTCGGTTCTCTCTACATTACAAACTTCAGACTAATCTTCAACGGCAACTCTATGCAAGTGAGCTGGTCCTTTTCTCCGCCTCTCTTTCGTAACTCACAAACTCACACAAATTTCTTTACTTCCTCTCACTACCCCCTCCTCGGTCAATTCCTCTTTCCCCCTGCCTGTTTTCCAACTCAGTATGAAACGCATGGTGTAAAATAACAACATAGTTGATCAATACTTTAGTTTATAAAATCCCGTTTCCAAAGTGACACGACAGTAAAAGTATGCCCGTAAGACGACAAGTTCAAAGGTCCCCTATTGGCATATAGCGAAGGGCGAAAACTTGGAATTCAGCGGAGAACGCCAAGAAGACTCGTTGGTTACTTGTAACCACCAGCAACATTTGTGGAAACTGCCAATGGTTTTCCACTAGCATATGGGGTTTGTTCGTGTGCTGTATGTTGTCATTGCATGGAGTTTTAACCCCTCCACCACTGTTTAAAATCCGACAGGACCCGGAGAGTCGTGAGGCGATGCAGGAAGGTCTCCTACTGAGGAAGGAGCACGCGTTCACGCTGGACTCCGGGAAACTGCCCAGGATGAGGAACACTCGCTCTGGGGCCACTTTCAATTCCTACCTAACCGACCCTGACCAGGCTCCTGCAAGGTCGGTTAGGCAGACCCTACATACGTATGTATGTACTAGAACGAATGCATCATTGGCGAACACACACGAGTGAGTGGCGCTGTGTGTATTTTGATTACGTAAACCCATTACGGTATATTTGCAGCACAATCACATGCTTCAGACGACTGACTACGTACAGGTGTGCTCCCTTTTGCTTGCCAATTGCCAGCAACTAAATTAAATGCTGGTCTCTTCATATCATAGAACACAAAATCTGTTCTCAGAATTGTATATAGTATATTCAGGTATGTACAATATATGTACAATGTATGTATATACAATGTATGTACAATGTATGTACAATGTATGTACAATGTATGCACATGTGCAGGAACAAAACAGCTCCAAATAAAGCCACTCTATTTACATGAGCCATAACTTCATTCTTATCTTCTTTCTTCCTCTTATCCTCCTCCGTCCCTCTCTCCCTTCCTCCCTTCCTCCCTTCCTCTTCCCCACTTTGTTTCCGTTCAGTTCCTCCTCAAAGTGGATGAGGTTGAACTCTCTGAAACGAACAAACCGCTCAGCCAGCGAAAACACACTCTCGACGCGTGGTGTCAGGAAATCTTCGTCTCTCCGCCGCCCTCCTCTCAAGAAGAAACAGCATGAGTCGACAGACAGTGTAGGCAACGAACCTACTAGCAGCAGTGGAGGAGGAGAAGGAGGAGGAGGAGGAGGGAAGGTTCTGGGGGAGATTGGATCCCTCCTTCACCGCGGCGCCCGCAGCCTCCACATCCCCAACAAGCGACGCGGAGTCGTTCAGAGAGAGAGCGGAGGCATTCAGTGGGATTCCGTCTCCTCCATCTCCTCCATCTCGGAGATCTCCGAGGGTCGTACGACGGGGACAGACGAGATGAGCGAGCGAGAGACCATTGCGAGCGTGTCCCCCGTCCCTCTGTACGACTCGCCCGTGTTCTCGGTCGGCTCCATGGAGTCCCCCACTCCGGAGGTGCTCCTCAACGGGTCCGGGGTGGGGTCCTCTGGAGTGCCACACCCCGACACTCAGCCCAACAGTCTCGACAGCGGAGTAATTTCCGACCCTCTCTCGGGAAGCTGGGCTGGAAGTCTTGGTAAGTTAGGAAGAAGTGAAAATGTGATGGTAAATACATATAGATATTATGGATGGCAAAGCAGGAAACACTGTAGCGTAAGAAATATTGATATTACAGATTGCGAAGCATGGAAGCACAGTCTATTATAGGAAAAATTTTTGGAGAAAAAATGACCCTTAAACATTGGAAATGGTGAAAGTAACTCTGACAAACCTTTTCAGCGTAAGGGTTTACTGTGCTTTCTGGTCTCTATTCCAGGTGGGAATGGGAGTGAGGTACGTGGGACTGGGAATGGGAACACGGACGAAGAGGAAGGGGAAATAGACTTTGAGAAATACTCGGCGGCCATGTTGGACCCACTCCTCAAGACGGACACACTGAGGAGAGAGTTGGAGGCGAGTGTCGACCCCGCCCTCTTCCTGGACCCCCAATTAGAGAGGCAACGACAGGAGATGACCCGAAGGTCCTGGTTTCACAAGAGCACCTTGTCCCCCACCGCTGTCGTCGTGGCAACTGCTAATGATGGGGCGGAGTCTTTCTCCAGCGACAACGAAGATTACAACGACATGAATCAAACTCCCACCCTCGGCCCTTCTTCTTCTTCTTCCTCGTCTGGCAGCACTGCGGTGGTTCAGGTGGGGTACTCCAAAGTTGAGATAATAACCTCCGAAGATCCTCCGTTGAACTCCGACTCCACTCCTCGTGTGGAGTCACCGGTGTACTCCACTCCAGTGAAAATGACTGGCCGTGGCCTCAGGGGAGCCGGGAAGACAGTGGACACGAAACAAGTAGAGGAGGACAAGAATGAGGAGGAAGGAGCGGAGGATGGGAAGGGAGACTGTGTGAATAGAGAGAGAGAGGTGGAGGGATGAAGGTGTCACCATCTCTTACCAAGAAGCCTCTTCCCCCAGCACCCCCTCCAAAGAAAGTACCGCATGCAGCAACCTGCTTGGCTCTACTGCCGTCTGACGAGAGAGAGAGTGGTGGTGAGGTGGGGGGAAACGAGGAAGGAGGGAGAGGAGAAGGGTATGCCAATTTTGCTATTCTGCGAGGACTCACCGACCGGCGCGACAGGAGCCTCTCTATCCCCTCTCCTCTCAAGAAACCGATGCCTCTACCCAGGAAGGCGGAAACGCTGAACCGAGCAGACGAGAATGGGCGTGGTCTCGGGCGGAGTCTCCCCGACAATTTCAAACCAACTCCGCCCCCTCGTAAACCCACTCTTGTCTCGTCGTCTCCCTCGGGCTCTCCCCAGACCTCTCGATCTCAGCAGCCCCCCTCGCAGAGACGACCACCCGTTTTGCCCAAACCTTCCCTCACACTCCCGAGAACTAAGCCCCGCCCCTCTCTGCACGCTCG